GAGTACATCAGGAGACAAATATCTAAAAGAGTACATCAGGAGACAAAAAGAATGAGACAGAGCAAGAATGTTGAAGATTTTAAAGAGCACAAAGGTTCTGAACGATTTTAAGAGCTTTATGCATTTTAATGAGGAAAAAAGTCAATGAAATGTTTAAAAAAATCAAATTAAAAACAGGAGCAGTAAAATCCTGAAGGAGCAGAACATTTTGATAGCCGAAAAAAATGACTAAAATAGCTGAATATGTGCTGAAGTTGTCAAAAACGTACAGAATACAATAAAAAAATGTGAATGCAGATAAACGCCAACGGCTGAAGGAAGAGGCATAAACAACAAAAAAATAACTGCGGTATTGGGGAAAACAACATTAATAGCACTTAAAAAAATCAATACATGGACATGGAAAATTAAAGCAACATTCAGAAAAAGAACCAGAAAATGAAAAGATTTGTAAAACAGCGGTACTTCTTCAAGCTCGCCTCTGATTTCAAAGAGTCCAAGTGTGAAAAGCGAGTTTCAGCGGGCGGGAAGCGGTTTGGGTGTACCTGGTGCTCAGCCAGCCTCCTCTGGATTTCCTGCTCGTGACAAACGCTGTAGGTGATCGGTGCGGACAGCTCGGCCTCGACGCGGGAAAGCCACGAGCGGAGGTTGCTCATGTTCTTATCCAGCCGCTGCAGCGTCACCAGAGTCTCCTTCAGCTTCTTTACTCTGAAAACACACCGTTCCACAAACTTCACAACACGAACCTTCAGCTAACCGCATTAACGTCAAGAAATACTGCCCTCAGCTTAAAGTCATATCGCTAGAGATATAATCCAACATTCAATACGGTTTCCTAAACTTTGCGGCTGCTGGTTCTTTATAAAAAATCTGCCAACGGATCGGATCAGTTAAATGTTCCTGGCAGGGAAAACTCTAATAATGAGCAGAGTTTGGCTCCTGAGTGACAAATGTTTAGAGGAAAGAGAAATAAGTTGATGTATTCTATTGTAATGATTAATTTAATGACTTAAAATACTAATTTGAACAGCTGAAGAAAACTGATTTTTTTTTTAACATGTATAACTTGAGGATGACTTCGACCTGTTGAAGTTCCTTTACAAAAAGAGAGAAGCAAAACAAAAAGAAATGATGAAGGAAAAAAGACAGGAAGACAAAGAAACGTGTAAAATACACAAAGAAAAGAAGAAAAAAGAACTGAAAGAAAAAAACAAAGCCTTTCACTCGCCCACAAGCCTCGCAGGTTTACTTCACTTTAGAGGTTGCCGTGGTAACCGTGCTCCCAGACATGGATGGTCCATTAAAAACAAAAACGAACAAACCCACAAAGCGGTTCCTCCTAATAAATATTGTAAATTACCTAATGACTTGGCTCGCTGCGTATCGTTTAGTTCTCTGTGTTTTTCAACTAATTGGACATAATTTTAAAATGTTTGTTGGTGAGTCATTCTCAGTTTTTTTTTTATTTCTCTGCAGGTGTGGGTCGTCACAGGTCACCTGCCGTCTGCTTTAGTCAGTCATTTATCACGCCGCCCTGTTGGCAGCGATCAGGACTGCAGGCAGCTCCCGTAAATCTGCCCCGTGGACACATTCGGCTGGTTTCAGCTCGCTGATCGGACTCTGGATCTCACGTGATCGTGTCTAATCCAGGAGCAGCCAGGAGTTAAACCCGCTGTGGAGATGCTCGGTTTAAAAATCCATCTGTGAGATGAAAATTAGAAGATGAACTCAGCAGACATGCACTGAACACGGAAAACTACACACCGACGGGAAATTCTCTCCGGTCTGGTCGGCCGATTTAATCCGTCTTAACCCTGAAATAAATAAAATCCACCTGCTGGTAATCTAATTACGTGGTTTCTGAGTTTAACGGTTGGGGCATGAAAGTGAGACAGTTATGAACGCAGCACCTCTTTAGTTGTTACAAGTTTTTTCTTTTTAACATTAATTTGGAATATTATAATAATTTACGACTTATAATCAAATTAGAAATATAATCCAGACATTTGTGCACGTGTGAAGTTTTTTTATGCAGTTAAAATGAAAATATTCCTAATTCAGGTGGGGTGGATGTGAGTGCAGGAGGCATCCGTTTCTCTGATTCAACTATTAAACTGGACTGTTTCCACCCATCCATCCATCCATCCATCCATCACCCATCCATCCATCACCCATCCATCCATCCATCCATCCATCCATCCATCCATCCATCCATCCATCACCCATCCATCCACCCACCCACCCACCCACCCATCCACCCACTCACCCACCCATCCATCCATCCATCCATCCATCCATCCATCCGTGCGTGCCGCCAAGGTGACAACTTGGTGCGCACAAAAAAACAAAAAACAAAAATGAATAAATATTACAACAACATATATCCTGTCCTTTTCCACAGAAAATGTAACGTGTGGTTCAATAAACTGTGCGTGCCTCCTGCTCAGGAGCATCGACCGGTCCTGCCTCTGAACACGCACGTACACACATGCACGCACACTAACTGGTGTCATAGCAACTCACAGGACAACAACAGCTCTCTCAGAGGCTTCAAAGCCTGAAGTGTGCCCCATTTTTAGTTTGAGTTACACCCCCCCCCCCCCATTGATCCGTCCAGCCGAGGCGTCAGGAAGACGCTGTCTTTAAATCCAGAAGTGTTAAGTTCAGCTGAGTGTCAGAATGAATGAATGAATGAATGAGTGTGTGCTGCACGGACAGCGAGCTACTTCAGCTGCACTTTCAGTTTTACACATTCAGTCGTTTTTAAACAGTTTCTGGCTTTTGAAAAAGGTCAAGCTTGAGTCAGCGAACTGTCCTGCAGCTGCTGTGGAGCTGAAAACATTTATATTTTATTTACCTGTGAAGGCAGCTGCCGTCGCCCACTACAGGAACTTAGAGCCGCACTGGTTTGACCTCGTTTCACTTTTACTTCCAGTGTGATTCAATTTACTGAGCAACGTGAAAATTTAATGCAAACATGGGACAGAGGAGATCAGTAAGATCTTTCCTTCCCTCCGTCTCGCAGATATTTCACAGCAAATCCGTTGATTGTTTTAGAACCCCAAAATGTATCCCCATTGGGACATGGCAACCACTAAGAAATTGTAATATTTTCAGGCATGTTTTATTTGATCTGAGCAACACATCATATTTGACGACAGGGACAACAAAAGACGAGGAGCATTTTGTGACTAATTTGGTTAATTTCCAGCTCAGAAAGAAGACTAGGTAAATAAAAAACAAAACATTTTCCAGGAGCTGTATCTGAAGTTGTCCCTGTGACCTGTCCAGGGTGCACCCCACCCCTTGCACAATGACTGCTGGATATGAGCACCAGTGACCCCCACAACCAGAAAAAGAAGACGCGTTTAAAGATAATGGATGGATGTATCCGAAGTAAAGATGGGCAGAGGTTCACCAGTTTGCAAAATAAATAAATTATAAATAAAGGCCTAAAGTAATGGAACAAGAACAGTGGTTCCAATATTTTTCAGTCAGGTCATTCGGACAGTTTCCTTTTTTTTTTATGAAACGTTTCAACTTCCATCCAGAAGGCTTCATCAGTCAAGGAAACGCACAACACAAAACTGATTCTTCCCCCAACAGCTTACTCCAAAGTGGAACAAACCAGTTATGTTGGTGCCAAGATGGTCTCTTTGGCACGCCCCCTCCTCTAGAGCCGGCCCTCTTCCTCGTCAACAGTCACGTCAAACTGGTTCAAAACCAACAAAGTCCATGCTCAATAATCCAGGTATACAATCCAACAATTTTCAGTCAGGTCATCTGGACAGTTTCTTTTTTTTGCTGCCAAAACGTTTCACCTTCCATCCAGAAGGCTTCATCAACAGATGAACAATGGTTCTTTACGGAAAAGTGGGAATTGAACATCTTAATCTGCTGTTCATATTTTCAGTTTGTTTCAGTAAACAGTAGTCCCTCGCTACTTTGAGGTTCGTTTATCACGGACTCGCTCTGTTGAGGTTTTTCAAAATAAGACTGGACATGACACACAATTGTCTGATGGATGGATGAGCCGCACGATCGCCATGGAACTTTTATTTAAAATGAATTTAAAACTACTTAGCTCCTGCTGCACCTTTGTGCAGCCTTTACTGCTGCAGGATAAACTTCCTGCTGCAGCTGATCAGCTGTTCACTGTGCAGAGCTGAGAAGTGGGCGTGGCCAAGAGCGCTTGCAGGTGGCAAAGAGCAGAAGAAGCAGGGAGCTGAAATCATGACATGCTGTGCTCTTTTAGAGCATTTAGAGTTTAGAAACATTGTTTAGAATATTGCAAGAGTGTGGGAAGGTACTTGTACTACTATTCCTACTTCGCAGTTTTTCACTTATCGCGGGCCTTCAGGGTACGGATCCTCCTCGATAAACGAGGGACCACTGTATTTATTTAGAGCCAAGTCACAGCAGAAGTCGTCTCAGGCCACTGAACAGAAACATTCATGCACATAAAATATTTTCATCCAAATAGTTCATGGTGGCTCAGTTGGTAGAGCTGTTGCCTCTCAACGAGAAGGTCGCCAGCTCAAATCCCGGCCCGGGGACCTTTCTGGGTGGAGTTTGCATGTTCTCTCCGTGCATGTGTGGGTTTTCTCCGGGTGCACTGGTTTCCTCCCACAGACCAAAAACATGCATGTTAGTCTGGTAACTAAATTGTTCCAAGGTGAGAGTGACTGATTGTCTCGTTTGTCTCTGTGCGTCCCTGTGATGGACTGGAGACCTGTCCAGGGTGTCCCCCGTCTTTCGCACAGTGACTGCTGGACATGGGCACCAGTGACCCCCCACAACCCAAAAAAGAAGCAGCAGGTAAAAGATAATGGATGGATGGTAGTTCATGAATCTGGAGCTCCAGAATCTTCTCTTCTGAATGGAGAAAGCTCACAGGATGAGAAGCAAAATGTCTGATTACAGAACAGAAGTCCATTTGCTTTTCTTTTTTTTAAATTTGTTTCTGTACATTTCTGTATTCAGCACATGTTCTGTAATCACCGTTCGCTGTGCCATCCACACATGCTGGATAAAGCTCTATTATGCACCATACGTGAACATCCAGATATGTCACCGTCTTCTCTGAGCCAAAGTGGGAATCTGTTCTGTGGCCTGACAAACCAAAGTTAGGAGCTGCAGTGTAGCAGTAACAATAACATGGGCAGATTGCACATCTGGAAAGGCACCATCAATGCAGAAAAGTATATACTCTCGTACAGTCATGAACTTTTTCAGGGAAGGCGTTGCATATTTCAGCAAGACAATGCTAAACTGCAACAGCTTGGTGGTAGAAGAGTCAGGTGCCGAACTGTCCCGCCTGCAGTGATCCATCATCAACTGAAAATGTCTGATGGATCGCGAAACAAAACGAACCAGCAAATAAGACCCAGGACAGAAATGGGACAATATCCTCCAAAACGTCCAGCAGCTGCTCTCCACAGGCCCTGAGTGTTTACAGACTGTCGTTAAAGCAGCAGAAATAAACATGGATCTGTCCCAACTCTAAAGCAAACAACTCATTTTAATGGTACAACTTCTTAAACACTTGATGTTTACCATGTTCCATATGAACAGAACACGGGTCTGAGATTTTGCAAATCATTGCATTCCGATTTAGATTTTTATTTCACGCAATGTTCCAACTTATACAGAACTGGGATTATTCCTAGAGACAAAGGCTGAGACGAAAAAGATAAAAATACTGAAAAACTACCAAGTGTTGAAAATTGTAATTGTGCAGGATAGCCGATAATTCAGACACACTATTTACTGAGATCCATTTTTCTTCCGTATGTTTTCAGCTTCTTTCTCGTTCCACAATTTTTGTGCCATTTCAGCAAATGGCAAATCAAAACGTTCAGCTCGTTCAGGAAAAGGGTGTTGGTGCAACTTTAGCTTTTTGAAATGTTTAGCCTTTTCTGCCACTTTTTTTTCCTCATAGAAAATGAATTGAGCTCATTTTACATCCTTCAGATCTGTTTACAACCTTTAACTGTTCCGTTCACATTTTATTCTGCTTCAGCTTCTTTCAGCCTTCTTGTGCAAATATAAACTTTTTTCAGCTACTTTCAGCTAATTTCAGCTGTTTTGAGCTCCTTTCAGATTATTTCTGCTAACTACAACATTTTTGTGCTTCTTCTAACGCCTTTCTGTTAATTTTAGTTTGCTATGCTCCTTTCAGCTTATTTATGCAAGTTTCAGCTTTTTCTACTATTTCAGCAACTTTTCAGCTGTTTTATGCTATTTTTTTTAAATAATTTCCACATTTCTGTGCTCATTGTGCTTCTTTCAGCCTAATTGGGAAAACATGTTCATTCTGCTTTCCTATGCTAATTTCAGCCTGTTCTACCATTTCAGCTATCTTTTTAGCCAATTTTAGCTGTTTTCAGATAAATTAAAGTTTTTAATAGCAATCTCTGCTACTTTCAGCCTAATTAACTTATCTGTTGATTTCAGCTCGTTATGCTCCTTTCAGCTTAATTCTGCTAGTTTCAGCTCTTTCTGCCATTTCAGCTACTATTTAGCTGTTTTTTTAATTAAATTTGGAAATTTCATCCAATTCCACATTTGTTTTAGCTTATTTCAGCTTGTTCCACTTCCTTCTGGTAATATAAGCTTCTTTCTGCCTTTTTGGCTACTTTTCACCATTTCCATGTTAATTTCAGCTTTTTTTTTTTTTTTTTTTTTTTTTTTTTTATTTTCTGTTTTTTTTTTTTTTTTTTTTTTTTTAGCTAATTTTCTAATTTTTGTGCTAATTTCTGCTCATTTAAACCTAATTCAGCTAATATGTGTTTTTTTTCTGGTTTCTTCTGCTAACTTGGACTTGTTCTTCCATTTCAGCTCCATTTCAGCATGTTTTAGATCGTTTCTGCTGTTTTTCAGCAAGCGCTTCAGCAATAAGCATTCACACTGCAATGCAGTTCCTCTAGTGTTATTTTGGTGTACTTCTTTTAAATAAAGGTTACTGTGAAAATAAAAAGATATAATGCACGGTTCTGTTTGTGTTAAAGTTTTTTGGACCATCAGCAGAACGACATATTTATGCTCATGTGTTCAAGACAAAACCCAGTCGGTGTAAACACTCTTCCGTTGTGCAGATGCAACCATCCTGCTCAAACTAACGAGCCTCTTTTCTCCCCTCTGTTCCCTCTCCACCTCTGACAGGCGAACAAAGACCAGCAGCTTCACGCGGAGGCCAGACAAAGACACAAAACCCAGTCGGGGGCGCTGGCTCGGGAAGAGGACATGAAGAGCATGGACAGAGAAAATGAAGCAGGAAAGAGTTGGAGGATAAGTGAGGATATACGTTTGACGGGTTGGGATAAAGTGCAGCTGACCGCAGGAGGGCTTACAGTAACAAAGAGATAAACTTTTAACTGGCATTTACTCCTCTCGCTGTACTTCGTCTCATGAGGGCTGAGTCTGGAGGGGCTACTGCTGATGGAGTTATTAAACGGGTTTGCGTGATCAACTTTACTTGATGCTGCTTGCAACTAAATAACTAGTGGCAGTAAAAACTAAGTGTGGCAAAGCTCGTTTATTTCTCTCTATGGGACGTTCGAGCCTTCAGCTCTCAGTTTTAGGTTTGAAGGCTGAAAATCCAGCTCGCATATTATTCAAGCTTCGCTGCATGTTTTTTAGTCTGGAGGTAATTTATTGAAGTAATTAAAGGCCTAGGATTCCTTAAAGGAACAAATATTCTCTGCACCGTTCATGCCAGAGTTTCAAACTAAGATCTCATGCTGAGAAATGAGGGCGTTGCAGCCACTTTGGTCAAACCTCGTAAATCACAATAAATGCAATTTCACACAATACTGTCATAAGATGGCCCTCAGAGTATGTTTTGAAGTTGATTCTCAGATACTGCCATACATAAGTTTAGCTCAACATCCATAAAATTAAGTGATGGGCACAGCTAACCAAAATGTTAACTTCGCTAATCACTAATGCGCTAATTAAAATATTAGCTACGCTCACGCTAAATCCATATAAGATTGTTTTTCTTCAAACTACTCATTTTCATTCAGGACTTTTATGTTACCAAGTGACATATTTATTTTAAACTGTAAATGAATGAAATAAAATAATCACCAAACAGATTAAAAAAACTAGCAGATGTTAATGCTAAAGCTCTAACTTTTATCATGCACGGTCAGAAATTAATCCGGTCCATCGGAACCAAAGAGGTGGAGCAGAACTCCGTTGGGCTGAAGCAGAGTGATGCGTTCAATGTCTGTCAGACATCCTCCTCGTGTCATTTACTATAATGAACTCTTTAACGATGTGTGAAATGTGTGAGAGAGTCACGTCCCAGAGACGGTTTGAGTGTTGCAAAGCATGCTGGGTACAAAATGTGTGCAGTGTTTCTGACGGTTTACGATGTTTCTGAGTGTGAAAACGGGATTTTCATGTTGTTTTCCTGTTCTGGTTTAGTTTGTTTTTTTATGTTAAAGTCTGTTATTGGCTGTAAAGTGACACCACGAGTCAGAGACTGGTTGCAGTAGATATTGGGGGTGGAAGAGCACTGAGGGTGGTGATGTTGCCAGGTGGTGCTGTGTTGCATATCTCTGCATGGCATAGCATCGCTCCATGTAAATCATCTGTATGTTTTGAAGTGCGGAGAACTGTTAGAAAAATAAAATAAAATTTGTAGACTTGAACTTATCGGATTTAAATTTAGCGGAAGTTAACGCCGCTAAAAGATTCCCAAGTTAGCGAAAAGCTAATCCGCTAAAGGGAACGCTAATTCCGTTATTAGCGGAACCGTGCCCACCACTGACAGAGCCATTTATTTGTTGGACAATAGCTTGAATTGTGTTCAGATGTTAACGAGTTTGAAATGTACAGCAAATCACGACTTTGGAGAGTTTCAATAAAATCTGTGCCGAGGTTCACAAGATATTTTGCTAACAGACAGTAGTAGTTAATAGCAAAGGTTTTTAAAACAAATTTCACACAATCAGTGATCAAAGTGTTGGGAATGACGCTCAGGTACTGCTTAAGTTAGTCTGCCTTTTTTTAAGATCGTGTAGCTCTGTCAGCCGTCTTAAACTCGGTTGACTTTAAAAGTTACCGTGTTGTAGATGGACATTCAATTAAAACCTTCTCAGAGTTTCATTCAACTCCGTTCACAAACGAATGACCAAACATGCGTCGATGGGAGACGACTGCAGAAGTAAAAAAAACCCCGAGTCTTTATCTCTTTATCTGATAAGAATAAAATGGCCGCGCTCTCCTGTAGTTGCAGCTTCGTGCACTCCGCCCATCTTTCGGACGACTGTACGTGCATATTATCGTTGTACCTTGGTGCAATTCCAATAAAGTTTATTCTGATTCTGATTATCCACAGAAAATAGCATCGATAAAGTAGATGCAGTAAAGCCTTCTGGTCAGCCCTGTGAAAATCAGTGATCAACATACCAACATGCACCCCGCACTGCCCCGTCCTAGTGTCACCCACCCGTCCACACTGAGTCCTCCCACTAACAGACTACAAAGCGTGGGGGTTTCAGCAAAGGACTCGGGGACATATGGTACTGTCTGAGACCTTCCTTTCCTGGTGGTGGGGGTAGTTTTCAGGTTTGTCAGGGAGCCGTCTACATCTCCTGCTCTTCCACAGGAGTGTCCATCTGTTTGAGGGGGGGTAGCAACAGTTTAAACAACACGGGGGTTTAACCTCTACAGTCTGTGCTGGAGGGGGCCTGTACTGCTGACAGCTGCAGAGCACAGCTAACACAACAGCAGGTGGATGGATAAGAGCTATTGTTTACTTCAAGGCAGTTGAAGCTTCTCGCTTCTTAATTGTGCTTTTTGCAGTAGAGCAGCTTCGCTGTGAAGAGTGCTTGTCCTTTAAGGATAATGATGTAAATGTAGAGTGCCGTACTTAAGAGCCTGCTTCATGCGAACCACACAAACAATTTTACCTGTAATTCAACCGTCGCCTTACCGTTTGTCTCTGCAAAGTGCTTCCTGAGCGGTGACCGCCCTCCCTTTTAAAGTGCTTGTTTGATATAAACAAACACAATATCCCACGGCGCAGCGTGTGGACCAGCTGTGACAGCTCTCACCTGGCTTCGATGTGGTGGAAAAGGTTGTGCCACCGCTGATTGACTTCCTGCAGCGACCCGCGGACCTGGCTCTGCTTGGCCTCGTCGCTGGCCAGCAGCAGCTGCTCCCCCAGCTGCTTCAGGTGGCTCTTGTTTTCACTGAACAAGTTAATTTCCTCCATGCAGTCCTGCGAAAACATTTTATCAAACGTTGAACGCTGCTTCATAAGCATCTCGAATTAGCTTTAAACGAACGAGATAAGCGAGCTCGATAAAAAACGTGTTATAAAAAGTGTGACTTTTTTTTGATGGGTTACATCTAAAGCACTATAAACTTTTTGTTTTAGAAAAAAATTAAGAACATCATTTTTGGGCCCCAAGTTTTAAAAATGTCAGATTTGTGGGAGAAAATACATAATTTCTGTTGAAGAGAGCAGAAATACTGTAAGAAAACTTTCTAACTTTAACATTACTTCAACCCGTATTATATTTTCTATTTACCAGAAATGAATGTACATAATTTATCTTTTATTTCATTTGCTTTGTTGTTAAATTAAGAATTAACATTATTATTAAGTCACGGATGGGAAAAAAAAAACTCTTTTCTGCTTAATCAGGACAACCCCCCCCTGAAGTTTTAGTAATTGACACTGATCTTCAAAGAGAGAAACAAATAAAACATCAATAGTTTAAATGAATCCATCAGCTCAAGTAAAAAGGAAAAATAATTTGATTCAAATTTAAGTTTTTTAAAAATAAAAAGGATGCATTTTTTCCCTGACAAAAACAGTTTTATTGTTTTTCTCTAGTCTACACCAGCATAACACAAGAGTAAATGAGTATACTTCAGAGTATAAATCAGAGTATAGAAGAGTACAACTGAATTACAAGTAACTCCAAGAGTAAATGTGTATAACCCATACTATACCGTTGAGTATAGATAAGTATAACTGATTACAGATGAGTATAACAGAGTATAGACCAGTATAATGGTTAGAGTAATTGAGTATAATTCATACTATAACGCAGAGTATAGATAAGTATAACTGAGATTGATGAGTATGAATGAGTAACTCCAATGGAAAGTTAGTATAACCCATATACTATAACTCAGAGTATAGACAAGTATAACTGAGTACATACGAGTATAACCGAGTATAGATGAGTATAATGCCAAGAATAAATAAGTATAATCCATACAATAATACAGGATATAGACAAGTATGTCAGGGTATAGAATTTTAATCTAAGAATGGATGAGTATAAATCAGAATTATAGAGTACACCTCTAAGTATGGGGGGTGTATAACTGAGTATAGAGGAGTATACCTGAGCTGCAGCTGGATGCTGACAAAGACCAGACACAGAGCTGACGTCACACCAATTTTAAAGTCTCTGCGTTAGCTTCCTGTGTTTTAAAATTCAGTTTAAGGTTATTTTATTGGTTTTGAAATTTACCGTTGTGTAAAATCAACCCCAGGGGCTGAAGTTTTTCCATGTAAGCCTCTGGAAACGAAGGACTACCCCCACAGAGACCTGGAGTAATAAATGAATGTGGCCACCTAGTTACTCTGGTTTGCATTTGCAGCGCGAGTTTTTAATCAACCTGGGCTAAAGTATAAAAAAATATATAGATCCTTAACAACTGGTGAATGAGCATCAGACACGAAAAACTTTTGATTACTGAGATTATGTTTTAGTCTGCCGTGCACGCTGCTGTAAAATGCGACGCTGATTCAAAGACCGAGTCTGAAAAATTTGCAGCCAATCGATATTTGGCACAACACCGGCCCACGTTTCTGGGTGGTCAGCGGTGACGCGTAATAGATGCGACTTATGCGGCGAAGCGGCTTATTCGTGTTTTTTCCCCACTTTGTTAGACATTTTAGGACTGATGCGACTTATACAGCGGAAAATACGGCACGCCGTTTACTACGTTTCACCTGCAAAACTCAAGCGTGGATTTAACTTTTTATGCGTACGTCAAAGACACAGAAAGCTCTACTTAGTCAGGTCACACACCTCTGCTATAAAAAGTAGTTGTGATATTTAGAGTTGTCCAGGGAAGACCATCAGAAATGAAACAATTTCTAACAAACATTTGATTGGAACAATGGAAAATTGTCTCGGTGCTGTACCTTTTTCAGTTTCTCCACCATTTCCTCGATGCTCAGGTCTCCGCTCTGGCTCACCTTCTTCTCCATCTGAGTCAGCCAATCACAGAACTCTTTGTTCTTGTCGTTGAAGACGGTCCAGGCGTTGAGGCGGTCGGCTATTTCCTGCCTGCGTAAAGACACCTGGGAAGAGCCATGACTGATGTTTAGTGTCTATATTCACTCTTATGTACTCGAGACATTTTTCATAATCAACAGGTGTATTTTTTATAATAAAAACTAATTTGTGCAATAAAACCTCTTTACAAAGTAAAAGGGCAGAGCAAAACTAAAGCTAGGAATATTTTTTATTATTACAGCTCCCGTTTCTTTTCAAATGACTCGTGCGCACCGAGTAGCAACTTAAATGATGCATTAAGTTATTTATAGTGAAGTATTCTTGCAAGAGCCACTTGATACATCTTTGTTAAACAAATAAAAGTGGGCGAGTAATTTTAGGGTGCACAAAACAGGCAAGATCATCTAAAATTTGAGTCGTAACAAAAAAGACATCTTAATATAAACAGACTGAGGAAGTCTCTCGGATGAGAGACGAAACGTTTCTACATTTTTTGTTGTTTTGCTTTGTTTTGGGTTTTTTTTTAATGTCCAGAGGACCAGATTTAACTTTTTTAGACATCTTAATATACTTCTATGGGGAAAGCACTTTTAAATAAGGTTAAACATTATAAATATATAAAAGATACAAGACACCCATCTCCTAAATAAACCAAATGTTTTAATTAATGATCAAAACAGCACAAAGTATACAGAAGTAGTATTTGTTTATGTTTTCGGTGTAGTAGTGGGGGGTATTTAATCTCCATCAGAATCAGCACTCAAGTGATTTGAGAGAAACTCCCGGGAGAATCCGGCTATTTGGTCAAATTAACAAGGTCCATTTTCCTAATGACAGCTTAATGCCACAACACCCCGTTACAAAGCTGGGGGGCTTGAGGGGGGGCTGATGATCTTTTTGAGATTTTAGGGCTTACACAATTAGAGCTGCTCTATTTTACTGCTCAGTGGCATTTATTTTGTTAAAATGAGCCTTGCTTTGGTTTTTAATGTATTGCCACAAATGGCCTTCTGGACTGTGAAGAATCTGGGATGTATTGTGAGCTGCGGTCGCCCTCCGAGGACTTTGTGCTGCCTGGGTAACAATAGAGGAGCTCCCTTGGCCTGTTGAGCCATCTGCCCCCGAGCGCCATCGCTGTGACCCACACACACACACGCTTATCTACAACCTGTTAACTATGAAGCAGAAACCATGAAGGCTCAGATTCATGCTTTATGGGCACGTTGTGTTATTTACTTTTTCCCCCAATGAGAAATTGTATACAAGTGATGCATCACGCCTGCAGGTTCTTTCACACCGTGCCGACTTAAGAGGTCTGAAGAACATCTCTGGATTTCAGGAAATTATATTGTAAGTTTTTAAGCGAAACTAAGAGGAAGGAACCACTTAGATCGGGGGTCTGTAATCCTTTTGATCAAAGAGCCATTTCTGCTCCTTCACTCTGTGATGATCAACTGGTGGCCCATGGGCCACTTTGAGCTAGTGGGAGGGCTTGTTCTGACCAGTGGGGGTGACATTTTAAAACTAATAATCAATAATGAATTTTAACATTTATTCATATTTTTACATTTTGAAGCCGAAATAATAAAAAAAATTACATTTTTAAATTTTGGGACTAAACCTAGTCTATGATGTAAAGACGTCTAGTTTCTACCTTTAGATGAAAATGAAAACGCTGAACTCTGCAGGACTATGTGGCTTTTTACGTGAGAAATTAAGCACAGTAGTCCCTCCATCGCGGTTCGTTTTTCGCGGACTCGCTCTATCGTGGTTTTTCAGAATAAGATTGGACATGACACACAAGTGGCTGATTGATGGATGAGCCGCACGACCAGCATGGAATTTTTATTTAAAATAAATTATTTTAAATTATTTAGCACCTGCTGCACCTCTGTGTAGCCCATACTGCAGGATAAACTTCCTCCTGCAGGTGATCACCTGTTCTTCATGCAGAGCGGGGAAGTGGGCGTGGCTAAGAGCGCTTGTAGGAGGCAGGGAGCTGAAATCAAGACATTCTGTGCTCTTTTAGAGCGTTTAGAGTTCAGAAACATTGTTTAGAATATTGCAAGAGTATGAGAAGGGTTTAAACACCTTAACATATATATATTAGGGATGTACGATATTGGATTTTTGGCCGATATCCAATATGCCGATATGTTAAAACTTATTTGGCCAATAACCGATGCCAATACCAATATTTTATATACGTCCCTTTGTCAGAACATAACCCTCTTATTTAGGCTTATTTGCTACAAAAAAAGTGCAACAGCTGTAAGAGCTGGTGACATACATTCAGTAACAGCCATATGATATGCATAGCACTTTAACTACAGTATGCTAAGTTCAAAGTTTTTGTCTATCCATTGTGCCGTAAGACTAATCATGCTAACGAAGCTAACACGACATACAAATGTCTGTGGTAAAACTCACCCAAGTGCTATCGGCCATTAGCTTCTCAATGACATCGGAAATGATTGCTCATAACTCGGGTAACAGTACGTCGGAAAAATATCTCCAACTGCGGACGATGTAGCGAGGCTCAACGTAGTCCATAAATCTTCGGAATCCGACATCCTCACCAACGAAAAATAAAAACTTCCACACCGCTGACATTTTGAATTTTCCACTTCGCCGTGAGATCAGGTAGGCACATGTGAGGTCATCACGTTGTGCTGCTGCTGCAGGCAAAAACAGCGCCTTTTATATCGGCGAGTTATTTTAATGGAATGGCCGATGTCCGATATTGAACTTTAACGCCAATATCGGCCGATACCATGCCGATAATATCATGCATCCCATTATATATATATATATATATATATATATATTATATATATATAATAAACTACTACTTACTACTTGTGCTACTATCCCCACTTAGCGGTTTTTCACTTATCGCGGGGCTTCAGGGTACGAATCCCCCGCGATAAACGAGGGACTACTGTATCCCACTTTTGAAGTAATAAAGCAAAAAATAGTAGTGCCGTTCAAACATTTGCAGAAATTTTTACAAAAAGCAGCCAAAACTAGCCATTTTTTGTTTATGGGTATAAAAACCAGAACAATTAAATTTCCTGCAAGTTTTGGTCAAAGCTTCATAGAGCTGCAGATGAGGGACTAAAGGGCCGCATGTGGCCCCAGAGCCACAGGTTGCAGACCCCTGACTTGGATAAAACAACCAAGGCTACTACATAACTAACATTTCTAGCTGACGCTGACACATTTGTGAACCCCAGTAACTCTTGCCAGAAACAGAGCAAGTGGAAGTGGCCACGGTTTGAATGACTAAATAACTAAAACTTGACAATGTCCAAGTCTTGTCATGCACCAACTGTTTTCTGTGGAACAACCATGCGCTTGTGTTCGAGCCAAAAGTCCTCGCTGTAGGAATGTGAGGCAATATGAAGCTGCTTTCATAGTGGAGTTCCAGGATTTACAGGCTGAAATGATGGACAGTCGGACTAAAGAGCCAAATATTCCTCCATGTTGATGCAAGCAAGGAGAGCAAATATTTTAACCTTAAGAGTAAGGTGTTTGAACACTTTTATAGCAGAACTGTAAAAGAAACAGTGGACATCTGACCTGTGGAAGGATATGATGCTACCTTTTTAATAAGAGGATGAAGTTTTCCCTCCAAGAACTTGCATTTGATGGGGTCTTTTACCAAACAATCAGTGAGTGTGTGGGTGGATTCAGCTTTGTGCTGCCGGACGCCGCTGAGAAACAACGAGCAGCAACTTTTCCCTCCCAAAACTTCTCTCCACCTGTTTCATCTACAGCTGCAGACTTCCTCCTCTCAGTCCATCTGTAAAAAAAAAAAAAAACTTTCTCACCTTCACACACAGCTCTTCCCATTGGCAGTGGAGCTGCTCCAGCTGCTGCTCCAGCAGAGCCGAGTCGCTGGCCGCCAAGTGCTGGGACAGGTCCGTCTTCATGGTGTCCAGTTCCTTCAATCCAGTGGACAAAAACTGCAGAGAGAGTTCGGTCTCCTGCATAACACACACACAAAGCAGTCAGTCACACAGCCATGTAAAAGTTGTGTGTCTGAGCTGGTTCACCTCACATGAATGTCGGTTCTGACCGTCCAGATTAAAGAGCTGTGGTCAGGACAGGGGGGAGGGTAGATGGGGTAAACAGGGGGAGGGGAGTGAAAGAACTGGGGAAAGGGGGGTGAACTCAGAAGGTCACTAGTGGGAGCTACTGGTGGGATTTCTGTTTTCTCTCAACATACATGCATGTTTACGACGAAGGTTTAGGGCCACGCTAAGAAAAAACAAATTAAAAGCCATAAAATCATGAGTATAAAGCCGAATAAAGTCGTACGAGACTTTTTTTTTGGTGCAGCTCTTGTTTATTTATTTATTTTTGCCCACGAGTCGGATCCATGACGCGACCTGTCAATCAATCCAGTAGGCGTGTCAGCAAATGACCAATCCGAAGCTAAATTCTCCTTACCTGCAGAGCTGCTCTGCAGTCCATCACAGCACAGTACTGTAATCAGGGTCAAAGTCCTGAAACTGATAATAATCTGATGCTGATGTGCTGACAGATTAAGTATCTCCTTATTTGTAAAACCAATACCAAATTATAACTTAACAAGATGCTCACTATTCTTTATTTTACCACGGTTAAAATGCGGTAAACCCTGATTTATCGTGTCGGAGTTCGGATAATATTACGACACATTTAGCTTCGGATTGGTCATTTATTGACACGCCTACTTGATTGATTGACAGGTCGTGTTGTGGATCCGATTCACGGAAAAATAAATAAATAAACGAGCGCCGTAAAAAAAAACAAGTCGTGTACAACTTTATTCTCGTAATTGTATGGCTTTTAATTTTTTTTCTTAGCATGGTCCTAAAGCTCCGTCGTACATGTTAACGTGAAATAAATGCAAGTTTTTACACCATACAAGTTTAAATGTTTAATTTATGAGCATTTTAAGTTTTCCTCAGCTGCAGATTTAAACTATATAGAACAAGTTGTTTTTTTCAGCACGAGGTCCTGCTCTGTTCACACAAATATTTTTAAAAATATATATTTCAGTCTCCTAATATACGATTTGACATGAGTGGCTGGTACATTCTAATATTAAATAATTTGTTTTTTTTATAGCTGTACTTATGAATTCATGCATTATTTTTATTTTTATTGTTGCAACACATCTAACACAAAGTCATTTTTGTTGGGGATATTCAGTGTTTATCTTTTATTAATGTTCTAAAATCAAATGAGTAAAATTAGCATTTAAGTCAAATTGATTCATTTTTCAGTTTGGTATAAAACTAACAGATGGCACAAGAATCTTTAATCTACAGACAGACGGAGTTTATTAAAGTTCTTAATGATCGTAGATGATGGCATTACGGCTGTGACTTTAGAATTTGGTAACTTTAAGACTTTTTGAAATATTCAACTTTTGCATTTTTATTTTCATAATTCTGTCTTTCTATGCCGTCTATTTAAGGCACTCTGGGAGCAGCTGGGAGGAGATTTAAACGCCTTGCTCAAGGGCCCTCATTGGGGCAGATGAGGGTGGAGGCAGGCGTGGGTGTTTCACTTTTCCCACCTAAATTTTTGTGGTCCATCTGGGGATTCAAACCTGCGGCCTCCCGATCACAGACCTTCTCTTAAAACTCTTGAAAAACTTTGGGCTGTTTGAAATCTTCAGCTTAGTTGCTTCATTGTTAGCTTTTAGCTACTGTTCAGCTAGTTCTAGCTTTTAGATGCAGTCTTGCTTTTAACTTTTAGCTACTTCTTCGCTGGTTTTATCTTTTGATCATTTTAACAATTCAGTGTCAGTGTCTTTAACAAATTTCAGCAAAGTTGTGCAGAATTCAGAGAAAATAACTTTTCCAGTGACTTCAGGCAGAAATGTGCTTTAAGTTTTAGCTGCACATCGTTTCGAGGAGGGTTTTGTTGTATTTAAAGTGGCATATGAATAAAGTTGACTTTGACATTCACCTGTTTGAGCGGCTCCTCGGAGTCTTCAGGTCTTCCAGTGAGCGATCGTCTCACCTTGTTCAGTTCAGCCTGGATGTTCGTTACTGCCCTCTGACTCTGGCACCACATCTAAACAAACAATATGACACAATAAATACAAAATACAGGAAGTTTGATTAAATTATAATAACTTTTTCACCATTAATGGATTTTTTAAAAATCCTGGTTAATACGAAAAGATTTCCATGCGGTGAGTTATTGTTACCATAAAGAATTTCTTAATGAAAGTACTTTAAAACAGTGGTTCCCAAAACCATGATCCTTGAGGAATGCCATCCTGCATGTTTGAGTCGTTTCCCTGCTCCAACACACCAGATTCAGTGATTTTATTACGTCTTCAAGTTCTGCCAAAGCCTGTTAAGCACCCATTCATTAAAATCAGCTGTGTTAAAGCAGGGAAACAATGGTGTTCCCCAAGGACTAGTGTTGGGAACCCCTGCTTTAAAAGTCCAAGGACACAATGTTTTGTCAAAGAGAATGTTAAAAGTATTCATCATCCTAGATTTACACTGCAGGAAGGTAAATTATACAAAACCCCAATAGTAGGTGAGGTTGTCATAAGCTCAAGAGCTGATGATTATTAATTAAGTTTGTTTTTCTGCATTTTATTGTCCATTAGATGTAAAATCCTTCAGCTTCACTGGAAGTTCTGCAACGCCCACTGCTCTGAGAGTTAGCACCAGGATTTAACCCAAATACCGGTGTCGACTTCTTCCTCTGCAGCACTAATATTCCTCTGTTTTTAACATTACTGATGCAAACTGCAGCAGCCTTGTTTCTACATATGTTCCTTCTGTACAAGGATGAGAATGGGTCATCTGTGGTTTTATGTGGGTCAGGGTCTTACATCTACGTAAAGCTGGTGCTGTGTCCCAGTGATGGAATGACACTGGAAACCAGCTGGTTCTGGATGTGGATCACGATGAGATTTGATCCTTCTCATCAGGAGCTCAAAGCTCTATAAAACACTGGCTCGTGTGTGTGTGTGTGTGTGAGATATAGGTCATTCAAAACGGACTCATTCCTCTTCATTGTTAATAATGTAGTTCATGCTTTCTGTCCTTTGTGTAATCTCTGCATGTTAAATCAAATGAAAATTGCAAATATTTTTCTATTTGCAGTAAGTTTCTGCAAATATACGGCTTTAATTTAACAAAAGGTACAGACAGGGTTTCTTTTTTCAATTTTTATGCTACTTTCTTCTTTAAAACACTCCAACTGTTCAGTCTGTAAAGAGTGACGACGCTGGACAAAAGAAGAGACTTGTGAAAATTGACTGAATGATATTTTCAGTTAATGGTGATTTATGAATAATGTTATAAAGGCTAAACCATTATTTTGTGTCAAACTGTTTTTTTTTTATTTCTTACAAATTTAACTTAAAAAATAAATCATTTTGTGACAGGCTTTTGGGAACAAAGTGCCTAAGAATTCACTTTTAAAAAGCTCCAAGTTGTTTGTTAATTTGTAGACAACCCTGGTTCATTTCAGATTAAGAGACTTTTTATTCCCAAATGTTTCACAGCTCAGAATAAAGTGGATTAAACAAAAACATTCCTCAGAAAATAATCAGGCTCTGGACTGAAAATGGGTGAAAAAGCAAGTCCTCTTCAAAAGATCTAAAGAGAAAATTCATAGAAACATAATAAGAAGAGAGGAGTTTTAACAAAACGGACACGTTTTGCTTTCCAACCTTTTAAACTTAAAAACGAGCAGATTTGATTTAAAGTGCAGCACTTCTCCCCTCAGCGCCTCGTTTTTTCTGCTCCTAATTTCTGTCGTCGTCAAATGGTCGAGCAGTGAAATCACAAACGCATGAAAGCAATTAAGTCAGTTTGAAGAACTCCCTCACAGCGATCTAACGAGGTTAAGTCAGGTTGCTGGACGGATTCTTGTGGAGGAAGCGGACCTGGCTTAACCTGGATAGATTGTTCTAGCTGGATTATTGAGCATGCATCGGGACATCGCTCACAGAGAGGTTCGATCTGAGTCTACACTGGGTTAATTTAGTATATAGAGGGATTTATGACTTGTTTGAGTTGTTTAGGCTGCTGGTACGCAGTACTTGAGGGATGTTACCTCTATAAATGGACAGACGTAAATTAAAGACAGGTGTGTTACCTGGACAGCAGTATCAAGCAGGTCTTTGTTTGTCCTGAGCTGTTCGGTGCTTCGCTCCCAGGCTTCTTTCATGTCTTGAAGCTCGGACTGAAGTCGACTCTGAGAATCCGACTCCATGAGGATTTCACTCAGATGTTCTGCGACTTCCGTTGTCTGGGCGTAGACGGGAGCGTGGAGGTCCAACGAGTCTTCAACACGCTTCAGAAAAACGAGGGGAGAAAAACTTTTGAGAATTTCTAATAAAACAATAATTTCGATTCAATTTAAATAATTCCTTATCATTCGGAGCTGTGGTTAAACTTTCAGGGGGAAAACTAGAGAATTACATTTTCTGAAAATTACAGCGTGAATGCTAAATGACTTTGCTGAAGAAGCTAAAACTAAATTAATTACAGAAAACAAACAGCCATAAAATGCATATAAAATGAAAAGTAAATAAAAGTAGTGATATAAAACAAAATAAAAACAAGCTACATTATGAAACGAGGTAAAATAATAAAAACAGGAACATTATATTAACAATTGTTTAAAATCTCTTAAGAGATCAACCTGGTTGAAGAAGCAAACAGCTAACTAAAAGAAAAATCAAAAGACCAGCTAAAAGCCTAAATTGGCCAATTGAAAGCAAAAAGTAGCAGAAGGTTGGGTAAAAGAAGCAAAAAAAAAAAAAAAGCTAAAAGTAGCAAAAGGCTAAATAAATGTCCACAGAAGCATTAGGCTGGTTAAAAGTAGCAACAACAAAAAACAGGTAAAAGTAGAAAAAGGCTAGCTAAAATTTTACTATTGCAAAAGGCTATATAAAACCTTAAAATAACAAAAGCTAGATAAAAGTAGCAAAAGACTAGCTACAAGCTAAAAATAGCTAAATACTTGATTAAAGAAGCAAACAGCTAACTAAAAGAAAAATCAAAAGACCAGCTAAAAGCTTAAAAAGGCCAATTGAAAGCCTAAAGTAGCAAAAGATGGGTAAAAGAAGCAAAAATGGCTAAAAGTAGAAAAAAGTAGCTAAAAGCTAAAAGTAGCATAAAGCTAAATAAAAGCTTAAAGTAGCATTGGGATGATTAAAAGTAACAACAACAGAAAACCAGGTGAAAGCAGCAAGAGGCTAGCTAAAATGTTACTATTGCAAAAGGCTAAATAAAAACTTAAAATAGCAAAAGCTGGCTAAAGTTAGCAAAAGACTAGCTACGAGCTAAAAGTAGAGCAAGAAGACAAAAATAGAACAAAGTTGCTGAAGTAGATTTCAAAGAGAATGTTTTTGAGGGGATTGAAGAGAACTCAAGTTTACTTCTGTGGGGAAAATATTTGTAATGAAGTTACGTATTTAAAGAAAAACAAAACTTGCAAAAAACTAAATCTCAGCACGTGAATGAGCTAGATGTTTAGATATATTAACGACTTAAATAGCAAAAACTATGCATGAAGTTAGATTGTGAAAAGAAAGTATAGAAAAATTTTATTAAAAGAAAAATAGTAAAAAAATAGCTCTTTGTTTACACAAAAAACTACTGCTTGAAACAACGCCTCGACACAGACCTGGCAAAGAGACCTGCAGCTCTGCAGCTGATTCAGCGTGCAAAGAGGTGGTCCTGTAGGGGGCAGTAAAGAGTCCACGGAACGCCACAGCTTCTTTAAAGATTTTAAACCATGACGGAAGATTCCCCAGTGCTGCAGCTGATCCTTTATCAAGGTCCAGTTCTGCCCAGCCAGAGCCACAGAGCTGCACCAGCTCTTCTTCAGACGGGTCATTTGCATCATGAGTTCAGATCTGTAGGTGGAGCGCAGCAGCAGGTTACAAAGCATCAAATTAAAGACTTTTTTATTTATTGGAATTAAAGGGACAAGGGTAGTTGTTACTGAGCAAAACCTTTCTCTTAAACAGAATGTGTAGTAAAAAAAGGCCAAATTAAAGATTTAGAGATGATTCGAAAACTCGGTCTCTCTCGCTGAAGATTTCCTCATTCCTTTAAGCAACAGTTCAGGATTTCTAAAAGCTCTTTAAAAACTGAAAGAAAACGACTTCTTCATTAACTGAAAAAAACTGAGACGATATTCAAGACTTTAATGTAGTTGGCAAAAAAAAAAAAACATAAATCTATTCACAAAAGTATTTATATGAGCATGCCTGTGAGTCATTTTGCTGACAGATCGTTGATACATTTATAAAAATATTAATCTGTTTCGACCTTTTCTCAGCTGGCTCTGACTCCATGGACTCAACTGCTTCACAGACGAGATGCTGCAGGAGCTGGTGTCCAACAAATATCTCAGCCTGAAGCGCCTGCAGGAGTGAGTGATAACAGCAGATTAATGAGCACAAAGACGATCATAGATCACTCTTTTTAACGGTTACACTGTAAAAATGGATCTGTATTTTAGCCCTGCTGCCAAAGTTGGAGTTCAGTGGTTTTTCTTTATAAAACAAACAAACAAAAAAATCAGTTAAAATTTACAATAAATCTACATTTTCCTACCATTGATTCAGAGAAAAAAAAAGTTTTAAGTAATGTTAATCTTCTTCTTCTTCTGGCTTTTCCCTCTTCAGGGTTCTCCACAGTGAGTCATCCTCCTCCACCTCACTCTGTCCTCTGCATCTTCTGTCTTCACTCCAACTACCTCCATGTCCTCTCTAACTGCATCCATATATCTCCTCCGTCTTTTTCCTGGCAGCTGCATTTCTAACATTCTTCTACCAATATATACCCCCGTCCCTCCTCTGGACATGTCCAAACCATCTCAGTGTGTCCTCTCTAACTTTATCTCCCAGTTGTTCAACCTGGGCTGTACCTCTGATGATCTCATTCCTAATCTTATCCATCCTTGTCACTCCTAAGGAGAACCTCAACATCTTCATTTCTCCTACTTCCAGTTTTGTCTCCTGTCTTTTTGTCAGTGTCAGTGTCTCCAGACCATACAACATTTCAGCACTGCTGTCTTTGCTGCCACCTTTGTGTCACAAATAATTAACTTTTCTCCATCCACTCCATCCTGCCTGAACTCTCTTCTTCACTTCTTTACCACACTCCCCATTTTCCTGGACAGTGGACCCCAAATACTTGAAGTCCTGCACCTTTGTGACCTCTGCTCCTTGTAGCCTCACTGTTCCACTGGCCTCCCTCTCATTCACACACATGTCCTCCGTCTTATTATGGTTGACTTTCATTCCTCTTCTTTCAAGTGCATACCTCCACCTCTCCAAGTTCTGTTCCAACTGTTCCCTGTTCTCACCACAGATCACAATGTCATCCGCAAACATCATAATTCATGGGGATTCCTGCCTGACCTCATCTGTTAGTCAGTCCATCACCAGAGCAAACAAGAAGAGGCTCAGAAATGATCCTTGATGCACTCCAACCTCCACCTTGAAGCTATGTCACTCCTACAGCACATCTCACCACTGTCCTCATACATGTCCTGTACCAGTCTAACATACTCCAGATTTCCTCATGCAATACCACACCTCCTCCCTCTGCACCCTGTCATTTGCTTTTTCTAAATCCACAAAGACACAATAGAGTTCTTTCTGACCTTCTATGTACTTCTCCATTAGCATCCTCAAAGCAAAGATGGCGTCTGTGGTGCTCTTTCTTGGCATGAAACCATACTGCTGCTCAGTCACCTCTCGTCTAAGTTTTGCTTCCACAACTCTCTTCCAGATCTTCAAGATGAAAATGGGCATCAGCACACTTCTCTGTTCCTCGGGCATTTTCTCTCCTCACTTGTTAGAAACTTACCATTCCTATCTTTAATAAGTCTAACCTGCTGCACATCCTTTCCATCTTGATCCCTCTGTCTTGCCAATTGGTATAATTCCATCTCGCCCTCTTTAGTGTCCAGCCTCCCATACAACTCATCGTACGCCCTCTACTTTGCCTTAGTTACCTTCCTCTTTGCTCTACATCCCATCTCCTTATATTCCTGTCTCCTCTCTTCAGTTCTCTCACTGTTCTATTTCTTCTTGGCTAATCTCTTTCTTTGAACGGCGTCCTGCACTTCACTATTCCACCACCAGGTTTCCTTATCATCCATTCTCTGTCCATTTGACCCACCAAGTACCTTCCTACCTGTCTAATTACTGTTGCTGTAGTAGTCCAGTCATTTGGAAGCTCTTTCTTACCACCCACAGCTTTTAACAGCTCCTCTCCGAATTTCTCACAACACTTTTCTTTTCTCAGCTTCTACCTTTTGGTATTCTTCTCTGATTTGGCTCTTCTTCACAACAGTAATTCTATACACAACCATCTGATGCTGTCTGGCCACGCTCTCCCCTGCTACATCCTTAGTCTCCAATCTCCCTCAGGTTTCCTCTTCTACGCAGAATGTAGTCGACCTGTGTACTCCTTCCTCCACTCATCGGTAAATCCATGTTCCTCCAGCCACTACTACAGCCACTTCCATTCTCTTGACAAAATCCACCACCATCTGTCCTTCCTGGTTCCTTTCTTGACACCAACCCTACCCATGACTTCCTCATCTCCTCCGTTTCCTTCACCAACATGTCCATTCAGGTCTGCTCTGATCACCACTCTCTCCTCCCTGGGAATACTCTCTATCACTTCATCCAAACCCTTCAAAAATGTAACTTTCTCCTCCACATCACATCCAGCCTGTGCAGCATAAACACTGACGATGTTTAGCATCAGACCTTCTACTTCTACCTTCAGACACATCACCCTATCTGACACTCCTTTCACCTCTACTACATTCTTTACCAACTCCCCCTTCAGGACCGCCCCTACTCCATTTCTCTTTCTATCCACACCATGGTAAAACAATTTAAATCCTGCTCCAATGATGTGAGCCTTGCTGCCCTTCCACTTGGTCCCTTGGACACATAAAACATCTACCTTCCTTCTCTGCATCATGTCAGCCAGCTCTCTACCTTTGCCTGTTATTGCCTACATTCTTAACTTTCCTCTTCTCCCTTTGTCTCCTGACACGTTTCCCTCCTCGTGGTCTTTTACCAACAGTAGCACTATTTCCGCTGGCTCCCTGTTTGTCAACAGTACTGGTGGCGGTCGTTGTTAAGCTGGGCCTTGACCGATCCAGTATGGTGTCGCTTAGATGAAGTTGCATATAAGTTTTGGCAAAAGTGTTTTATGTCGGATGCCCTTCCTGACACAAGCCTCACCATTTACCCGGGCTTGGGCACAAAATATACACCGTCTTGTGCTCCTAGTGGCTGGTTTGTTTTGAGTAATGTTAATGGAGCTCTTTAAAAGAGTGGTGGCACAGAGGTTGGAGAAAGTGAGCCTGTAATCGGAAGGTCGCTGGATCGACCCCCTGGACAGACATCATCAAAATGTGGGTGGGAAAGGTGAAGCGCACACACCTGCTGCCTCCAACCTAATTTGCCCCAATCTGGGCCTTTGAGCAAGGCTCTTAACCCCCACCATCTGCTGCCCCGGGTGTCCTACATAGCAGCTTTCTGCTCCACACAGAGAGCTGTGGTAGCTCGGTGGTCTGTGGTTGTGTCAGGAAGGACAACCGGCGTAAAAACAATCGCCAAGTCTTTGAGCGACTTAGTTCGCTGTGGCGACCCCTGAAGAAGGGAGCAGCTAAAAAAAAGAAGAGGAAGAATGGAGCTCCGTAAAAATATATTTTTGTGGAGCCAAAATGAGTTTCTCTAACAAGATGAAACAGATTCCTCACTATGGAAAAAAAAAAAAGAATACATATTTAAATTTGGGCAATTTGTCACTCTAAAAAATTGGAAATCTGTGGGCTTGTTATGGCTGTCAGGTACAAATCTCAGTAATGTTAAGAAAATGACAAAAAGTGTGTGAACCTGATGAACGCTCAGCATCTCCTGAAGGTTTGAGTAACTCGGAGGTTTTCTGCACACCGAGTCTCGCTCCAGTTTTTCCTGGATAGAATTCAGTTTCTTACATTTTTCCTGGAAGTCCTGGGAGCTCTGGAGCTCCTCGTTCAGCTCTCTACAGAACAACAGAAAGTGCAAAGCCATTAAAAAGCTAATTTAAAACACAAGTCTTTAAACCGGGGGAGTCGAACTCAGTTACACAATAAATTGATCTCAGTCGAAGAGAAAGCTCTCTGTCAATTCTGAATAATTAAGAAAACTATAAAACATGTAAACTGACCTAGGTTTTTTAAAGTATGTTACATTTCTGATATAGAACTATAAATAACTACTGTCCTTGATGCATTTTATATAAATTAGTACAAAATATGTAAATTCAGATAAACACAGCATAGCACTCATTTATTACAACTTCATTTTATTTGTAGTTCTTAATTAGTTTTTTCTTAGTCATACAGTTCCTCTATAGTTAAAAAAACAGCTTAAATATTTCTATAAATTTAAGGAGATTATGTCGATCGGATGCACATTAGGTTAAACCAAATACATGCCATCTTCCCCCAGCTGCTACTTCATCAGCAACAGTTTGATCTGTTCTATTTGGACATTTATATTAGCTCATTCTCTGTCAAAATCAGACAGAATTT